ACAACAGGAGCTAGCTAACATAACAATTAACCCGCGCCGCCGTGTTGGTGGCATGAACTTTCCATCGAATGCTGGGGGGGGGGGAGGGGGGCGTTTTACGCCCCTCCGTCTAACTCGGCTCCTGGGCCACGTAGCGACACGCGGTAAGCGACAATCGAAAGAGCGTCAAAAATAAGGAGGAAAACACTCGGTCATTTTAAGGTCAGGGCAAAGGTCAGGTCACCAGGGTTCATCAAAGGTCAAATTTTGTTTATTTCAACGATTTCGAACACCCGACGGCTAACTCGGGAACCAATAGCTAGCTACAGCGCCGTGGAAAAGCGCATTCGATAGCTCTTTTAACGTTTTTTCGCCAACATGTCCTCAAATTTGACCTCAGATCAACGGTTTAGCCCCCAGAGGGCACCGCTCTGATTGACCTCAAATTTGACCTCAGATCAACGGTGTTTTCACCGGTCTAGCACGTCTCTGTCAAAAGTAAAAAAAAACTGCTGAAGACCTTTTATGTCCTAAAATGACCTCAGGGGCACACACAGGGGTCACAGGTGCAATTTTCCGATTCAGTGTGTCATGTTTACCTATGGACCGATGTTTGAGAGGGTGTAGAACGAAATTCGTCCAAAAGAGGCGCATTTCAATTTTCTCCCATTGACTTATACCTAATTGTAATGGAGCAGTCGTAAAACTGACCTGACCTTAGGTCACAGACATAAAAAATCCGAGGTATCCATTTTATACATACTGTTACCCTAAGCAAGCACTGAAAGTTTTAAAGTGATCGCTTAGTCGGTGTAGCTACAACGAGCTTTCGAATTTTTTTCTGAGGTAAGGTCACTTGACGTTACCTGGTGACCTGACCTTGAATGACGCTATGCGTCGCGTCGCCGTTTTTTGAGATATTCGCGAAAAACCTGAGGGGGAAGGGCGTAAAAACGCCCCCCCCCCCCCCCCAGCACGGCGCGGGTGGTCGACATAGCGACTCGGACTGAACAAATGCCTTTAACGTTTCAACGGTTGAATAAGGTGAGAGGATTGAGGAGGGCTTGTATCGAATTTTCTTCTGCTTGTCGGTAGTTTCGGTTGATCGCGAGCTGTCCATAATCATTCAAGAGGGAAAATTCAGCTGCACATCGTTCGGGTCAAAATAATACCAAACATTTTCAAATTTTGTAGTAAAGAGCCAGTAGTCTACGAATATATTAAAAAACAATTAGAAAAAGAATAAGCGGACTGGTTTCGTCTATCAAAGACTTCTTCAGCGTTTTTTTTTCTTCAAAAACGTATAAGAAGAAAACTAGCACAGTGACAATCGTTTGAAATAGAATTGGATTCAGTAAGAACTAAGAACTTCATTGTCCGAAAACCGCTGACAGTTGATAGCTCAATGACACTTAGAGCCGTGCATAAGGAGGCGTGAAAACACTCCTCATCTCGTTCTATTACGAGAGGACCATGTCATGGCGTGAGAAAGGTGTTCTCAATATAAATGACACTGTATTGAGTGAATAAATATTCCGCGCCTTCTTGGGCTATTGGCGGACCCTACCACCTGATCGGGTGTTGCAGCCGTTTCGCCCTCCACCTGAGATCTCGGAAAGTTACCGACCGATTTTAAACATTCAAAGAGCGTTCGATAGCCCCACTAGGTAACTACCTTGTTACCAGGTTTCGTTGACCTAGGTGCAACCCATGACGTCACAAGTCAGGTAAAAGGTCGCATTTTTTCACCGATTTAGTCTAAGGAATGCGTTACAGTCAGTTAACACATCAAATAAAAGGCATGTTATCGAAAAACATCGATGGAGCGTTGGTTGTCTAATATATATGTTGCCTAAAGAGGTCATTGATGCCAGGTCAGTTCACAGAGGTCAGGTCACTAAGGGTCACAATATGAACCTAACTATGCTTGGGTCGTGTGATACATGTTTTATGGCCAATTTTACATTTAAAATTCAATGGTGTGAGCTAGACGGCCATTGGGGCCAGTTTAGATTACATTCTGGTGGAGGTCAGGTCAAGGTCAGGTCAAAGAAGGCCAAATTTCAAAGTTGATATTTTGCATAAAAGGGGTATCTATTCGATGCAGCTCATCACAGGAAATCCAATGGTGGCCTTTGGCTTGCTTTGTGTGTTCTGTGACGGCTAAAAATTGAATTTGAAAATTTTACGTAATAAATTTTGAGTAGTTTTTTTTTTTACATAACTTTGCTAGAGATGGAGCTATCGAGTTTAAGTTTGGCATATCTAGAGCAGATAGTTTTATAACATATATTTCAGTTTTAATTTTGAAAGTTGTTGGTATTTTTGGGGTGTTATTATACTTCTATATTTTTGATGGTCAAAATCAATTTTTGTTTGGAAATAAGAGTTAGCAGTTTGGTAGCGCTGTTTATTTTACATCTTTTTGATCTTGAATATTTTTCGTTATCTTCAAAACTGTAAGCGTGACAGCTCTTCCCGCTAAACCTTTTATTGGGTCGAAAATGACAGAACATGACATCCCTCTGACGTCATTTGTGATTAGCCTTTCATAAGAGCTCTGCAGGAAAAATTTGGTCACAAGGTGTAAAAAATGATGCCCGGAGGGGTCTTGAAAGTTTGTTGGCGACATTTGCTATACTTTAGGAGATATCGACGGAAAAGGAGAGAGGAGGCCGTTTCGCGCCGCCCTCCCCCGCCCCCCTCAACGGGGCTCTCAGTTGCTGCTCTCACAGAACTCTTGGTTATATTACAACGTAGTGGAATTGCAAGTGGCCATATAAGCTTCCTGCCAGCGCCGGACCAGAGTTTAAACATGCAGGCTGAATTTTAACATTTAATTTTTGAATTTTTAAACCGTTGAGCTTTTTAGAAGTTGTATGGACTGTTCAGCTCCTTTTTTTGGTCCATCACAGCGGGCTTGTATGTCACTTGTCAACCAAAATCGAATTAAAAGCTTTTTATTTGGTCATGGCTACCTCGCCAACTTCGTAACTGGATCGTTTAGTAGCTTTTGATTGGGCACTACCCACGTTGTCTGTCTAGCTTTTCGTGTCACTGTCTATGACACGAGAAGAGGCTGCTGACATCGTTTGTCGCGGTTGGATAATACCAATCCACGTCCCAGTGGCTGCTCGATCGCACTTTCCCTGGCCCACCTCTCCCACCAGGCGAGACTTTGCCCGGCACAGCCGTCGCCTCAGTGCCTCGGGCGGTGACCCGTTCAAAGGGGCTCACAATTCGTATGGTGCCGCACTGCCGTGGCTCTCAAACCAATACAGAACAGTGAAACGCAAAGGCTCACTTTCCATATAAGGCGAACGGCTGATTCTGGCGCCGGGGCTTCATTCATGCTAAGGCGCCCAATCACAGCGCCGCATTTCAGTTAGTGTCGGGCGCAAAAGCTACTATGCTCCGCCCCTCCATCACGTGACCGTGCCCTCACGTGGCCTCAGTCACGTGGTGTTTCCACTTCTTGGCGCATGGCGGCGCTAGTGTCGCAGGGGCGGTGGTAGCTTGCTCCCCCGCCGTCCGGGGGTGATGGGTAGCAACTGCTGGTGACTGTACAAGCCTCGTTTCTCTTATAGTGAAGTGGTCTTGGTTTCACTGCGCGGCAGGTGTTACTTCAAGCAATTGAGAAAAGCCGTGCCCGAAGCGCTATGCTGCCAATCCAAAGCACAGCCACAAACGTTAGCGATGCTCGGCCACTTTGATTAAGCCCATCATTGACTTGACACCTCATTCCCCGTTCATTGTGTTAGCAATATGCATTTTTTTGTGATTTGGCTTAAATACAAACGTTTTTCCATTGCTGCCACGTCAACAACGAGCGAGGAGTGATTGGCTCAACTGCAGACGTGGACTGGAGCATCGCGCGCCTTTGTGCTGTGATTTCTGATTGACTAATGATAATTAATCACTTATCATATGATGGCCGTCCTTTACACTTCTCATTTGAAATTATCATCAGTGTCACAAAACTGTATTTTGGCTTTGGTGTCAGAAGGGAAATTCCTCTCCAAAAATGGGGATAAGAGTGGAAAATTGCTGGCCAAGATGAGGCCCAAAAAGAGTGGGAACAGATCAACAGCATTAATTTTTATACATGCGTGATTAAATATGAGACGTACAACGACCATCCACGATAATGTTTTTTCTTCGGAATATTGGAAGTTGAAAATTGTTCTTAGAAATCGGAGGTGAGGGTGCGAAATGATTTTCACTTGGATGTGTTAGTTTCAGTGCAATCTTCAGTTCATATAAAGTGTTTTCTTCTTAGATTATTCCCATACGCAATCACAGCTGGAGCCTGGAAACAATAGATGTAGTCGTAATTCGCACATTTCAAAGTATTTTTATGTGCTTTTGTACAATGTACATTGTGCAATGTGCAGCTGCATTCCTGAAGCCTTTGTCTTTCAAGCTTCTCGCGTCAAACATTCCCACGCAGTCGCGATATTGCCATTTCATATGGCCGGTGGAATGTCAATCCAGTCAAAAATACACCAGAGTTCATCACGAACTACCAATGCAATTTGCGCCGTCACGAGGCCGGCGGTTCGCCATGTTTCACCGATTGCCTCTATGACGTCATATGGCGAGCGACGACCGCGAAATCAGAGCGCGATGCCGGCTATGGCATTTGCATGTTATGAGGCCGTGCGCCCGGTGGAATGATATTGGTCCAGGGTCGCCCTGGCGGTGCGTGTTTAATCGATAGCATACGAGCGGATGAAACTGGCGATGGTCGCCCTTACCGTCATATTCCTGTAATTAAAGGATTCATCATTTAAGTGGTGGTCGAGTTTTACCAGAATGATGCGCTAAAGGGTTACCTAATGGCCCTTGTAGCGATTTGTTTAGTAATTTGGTTGAGTGCATGATGAAAACTTAACTGGTTGTCATTCTTCACTCTCTTCATCACTCTTTAGCAAGGGATGAATTGCGTCTATTCACGACAAGTAACATACCTTTTATGTTACTGTGTCCCGTTTTCTATTTCCCCTCCCCGTTTGTCTCAGGTGGAGGACCCTCGCCAGCGTCCGTCGTGTGTGTGCGTGGAGCCTCTACTGCGCTGGTTGTGCACCTGTCTGCACGGCCAGCCGGACCGCGCCGTCACCGTGTACCGTCGAGCCGACTCGGGCCGGTCCGTGGTGCGTCGGCAACTCGCGCCACCCGCCGCCGACGCGCCGCAGCCGCCGCCGCTGGCCGCCGTGCCGGCGATGACGCTGGCCGAGCGGCGTCACGCGGTGCTGATGGCGCTCGGTGCGCCACTGGTCCCCTCCTCGTCCTCGGAGAAGAATTCAGTGCCGGGTCAGACGCCGCTGGCGGTCCCTGAATGTACCCAGGAGCCGGCAAAGGAGTCGGAGCGGCGGTCTGCGGCGGGAGTGACCCTAGGAGCAGCACTAGACGTGCTGCCGGAGCGGCATCACCTTCTGGCAGCAGCGCTGTGCTACTGGCGCCGCCACTCGGTTGCGCCGGTCACCGCTGCTCATTTAGGCGCCCTGCTGCTCCCTGAGCGTCGTTCCGAGCCGGGTGTGTCTCGTCTGGCCGGTCCCGACCCTCGCCTTCTCTCGGGTGACGTGTCCTTCGAGCAGCGCGTGGCACATCAGTTGGCCCAGCTGCAGTGTGTGCTGGCGCAGGCTAACAACATCAACACGCTCATGGGCGCACCTCTGCAGCTGGTGTCACCATCACGTGTCTTCGCCGGTCCACTAGTGTATAACGCGTTGATGCAGCTGAGGAGACTCGGTCTGGAGGCGGTGGAGCAGTGGCTGACGGAGCCGGCACTGCGCGAGTGGCGCCGAGAGCTGGAGCTGCTGTGTCGTGTGACGGGCGTGGACCCAGAGCTGCGACCGGCCAAACCCGTCCTGGTACCCGCGGCTAAGGCGTCCCGGCCTGCCGCTGGGGAAGTGGGAAAGACGAAGGAGGTGGGAGATGGGATGGGAAGGTCAAAGACGTCTCGGAGAGCTCGGCCTCAGCCGCAGTTGACGGGTAACAAGTTCGCGGCGCTGCTACAGGACAGTGACGGCGGCGCTAGTGGGGACGATTCAGATGCATCGGGTGATAGCTGACCAAAGCTATGGTGCTATGATATGATTGTTGGCTAAAGACGAATGATGTAGTGTTTAATGTGGATGCGCCGACTCCATGTTACTCAATGTTCAACACTACCGCGCGCTGTTTGACATGGAGAATCGCTGTTTGTTTTTATATAGATGTTTACCAGGGAGGTTTGCTGTCTTTTCAATCGGATTTTGGATACAATGTTTTAGTGTGATTCTCAACAGATTGTTAAATATCAGTTTTGCTTGACCTTTCTGGTAAATACAGAATCAAAACCATCACCTGTCTGTATACACGCATTGCTTTTTATCTGAACCAGGCCTGTTTAAAATAGAAAGGTTCTTTTGACGGGCGACCCTCGACTCGCACCATTTGTGATGGTTTACCTGCCAGCGCGCCGCTCTGGCCGGGCGTGGGCCGGTCCCCGGTGAGCTATTCCCAGACCGCTGTCTGTCCACGCGGTCCGGCGGCCCCTCTGTGCACCCAGCAGAGAGAGAGAGAGAGAGAGGGAGACGGAGGGCCTGACCCAGTTTCCGTCAAGTGCGCCGGAACGCCGCCCCAGCCGCGTGCCAAGACGTCTGCCCTGTGATTTTAGCCGGCGCCGCCGCCGCGCGGCTAGCCTTGTCCCGGTCAAATCGGCGCCGCTGGAACTAGGTCGGAAGGTCGCAGCTGGTCACAACAGAGTCGACAACACTCGGTCCTGATCGTCCCGGCAGTAAAGGAGACCGCTCAATGCGCGCCCGATGTAGTTGGTTTTATTGCTCTGGACTTTGGATTTATCGGAAAAAGCGATCACGTTTCGGGTGATTTGGACGTTGACTGATGGCTTGGCGAGAAGGTTTTTACAAATATTGACGCGCTGGTTATTGATGACTCATGTGAATGAGGTTTCATATTGATTATGCATGATGTTTATATGAGGCCGTATCGATTAAGATGATGAATATGCTAGGGGCCTGCCTGATTGATATTTGTATGGTATTTAACGTTCGCCCTAGTTAGTTAGCAACTGCCTTGCTGCCAACTGCCCTTCAACTGCCTGCATTTCCATTGCCTCCATTGGATAGGAGACTGACACAACGAAAGTTGAAACGGCTTTGTCTGCTGGTTGGTCGTGGAAGAAGAGTCTCTTCATCGTGTTCTAGCATCGAATCTCTGTATTTCTTTCTGTCAGCACCAGGAACCGTTCGCAAATGCTTGTCCTCTGTAGAGCCTGAACCTCCCAAGTCGCAATCACAAGCAATCATGTCGAGAACCATCTTGCCCGAGTTCAAGAGGCTAAAGTAACAAGTGGTCGCCACGGGGGGCTGCCAAGTAGCACCGGTGTGCTGCCAAATGACGCCTTTGGGTTGCCAGCCGGAACGGACATTGGCTAATGGTTTCCACAGGGAGTGGAGGTTGAAGGCGCACCGCTGCGACCACCCAGGACTACATGTGACCTGCTGAGCGATGAAACGAAGTACGCTGACCCGATAATCATTCATTTCGCTCAGGTCCAATCTTCAAAGTTAACGTAATTTTGTCAGTGCGGTGGTGCTGAATTTAGCTGATGCCTTCTGCTTCTTGTTTGAGCTGGTTTGTGATGTCCATGACGCGGGTCAATGAAACACACTTCACAGCGCTGTTTGGTCCTCCATTGATGTTCGCCCCAAGCCAGGGGCGCGGGAACTACTCTCCGACTGGGGGGGCACACCATAATAGAGATTAACCTAGGGTACCCCCAAATCTAGTTTTCTCACCGGTTTTAGGCCACTTATTTTTCACCCCTCGGCTTTTTCAACAAAAAAAGAAAACATTTGCAAAACAAGTGTGGTATTCCGTCTCAAAGCTGTGGGGGCACCGCCCCCACGGCCCCAGAGTTGGGGGGGCAAGCTGCCCCCACTGCCCCCCCGGCTCCCGCGCCTATGCCCCAAGCCGGTATCGAGATCAGCCCCGTCTGAAGAGCTCAGACGTGGTAGGTCTCTGCTCTATGGCCCGGATAAAATGAGGTGCTCCTCTCCAGCGCACTGTATTATCGATCAGACGTTTGGAGCGATCGGTAACTTGGCTGCGCGCCGCCCGGCCGGTCGGCTGGCCACTCGCGCCCGAGGTGTACCTAATTATCTCATCCGGTGCGTAAATAGACTCCTGCGACCGTAGGTGTCGGGTGACCGGTCCGGGCTCGTCGGCTGGCCGCAGTCAGCCCCTCCTCTCTCTCCCTCTCCCCGGTACCGTGACTCTGTGCTACTTGCATCGATTTTCCTCACCGTTCAGTACGCCGCTCTGCCTCAAAAACTAGTTAGTTCTTGCTCTGACTAGCCGGCAGCCAGTGCGGTTAACCCGTGCCTTTGACGTTACCGGTATGTGTGACGTCATGGGTGGTACATTGGCGGGTCAGGTGACCGGTGGACGGACTACCACAGTGACGTCATTAGTTTCGTCAGGGTCACGTGTCCGTGGGGGCGGACGAAGCTCTGCCAGCGTCAGATCGGCGAAACATCGCGATCGGGTCAACAGGCCGAGTGGCGAGTGCAGTGACGTCATCAGTGTTGCGGCGTGGTTGCTTATGTTCGCGGAAAGCGGTGACCTTTGGTCGTTCGTAGAGTTGCGATTGCGCGAGTACAACGCGTGCTTATTGTTATCCGAAATTTGCAATGTCACATACCAACCTACCGTCAGAAAAGAATCGCGTGAATGGTCCTTTGCAATGCTGACACGTTTGCTTGGATTCATATTTCATGTTACCTGCTTCGCAAAGCTGACGCTGTTCTTGGTTTAGGTATTCTACGTCTCCAGCGTAGGTCCGCTGGGCGCTACACTGGCGCTACATGCACCTGAAGCCCATAGGCTGAACTGTAATTTACTATCCATGGTGGGGCTGACGTGTCCTCGTTTGTGTCAGGGTGGCTCTTTCCGAATTGGGTCGGAGTAGTGAGGTCGCCTTCTCTCGTCACCTGGCTAGATCAGCAGAGCGGCAATGCCACTGCGGTTATACAGATGTCTTGACAGCTTCGCTGCCAACTGTGTCCTTGCCCTGCCGTGAGACGCCCTCCGCCCCCCGCCCCCGCCCCCTCACTGCCGGTGGCGGCGCGGGGTCGGGTCGGGTCGGGCGGCCACCTGTCTCATTGCGCTGCCGGTGCAGCTGGCGGCGTCACTCCGCCCGAATACACCTGTCACTCTGCCGGCTTATTTCCGCGGCTGCGAGCGCGGTGTATGCCAGTTGCCACCGCCGGCACACCGCTGCACTGGCATGGCATACACCGCGGGACAATACTGACGCCTGTCAGCGGGACCTCAGTCGGTCGGTGCGACACCTCTGCAATATAACCTGCAGTGCCGCCCACCGCGCCGCCAGCATCGGTCGATATATTGCTTCATCATCGTGCCGCAGGTCGGGCTAATGATTTAGGAGGGTGCCGCGGTGCCCTGGGCGGGTCGCCAGTGGTTCCCCGATTCTACCTGTCACATCACCAGTCATTATTTTTGTCACTAGCTAGACGTGTCACGAAACTCGGTCTAGACAGATGTGAGAATTTTCGCGCAACGCACGCGCCGAGGGGACGGGCAAATCGGCAGGAATTTGCACATCGTTTCGGCGGCGATATCGCGGCTACATCCCCAGGCGAGCGAGTTTGGCCCGCCTGCCAGCGGTCGGCAGGCGCCGCAGTCAAGTCCTGGCAGCGCGCTTGGCTCCGTGTCACTCGCTTCCGCGGCCCGTCTCGGACCGAAATACTCGTCGATCGCGCGCGGGGCTCGTGAGGCGCAGACGGCCGCGCCGGCGGCCATGCGCTCATAACCAAACCGTATGGCTTGCACGCGATTAAAGCGGCCCATTTCGATGTGAACGAGCTCGCCTGTCGTGGGGCTTTGGCGACCGATGGCTCGTCGCCGATGGAGCGGGAGCTGGTCGCAGACGTCTGGCGCCGGTGACGACGGCAGTGGGTGGCGGCGCCGGCGGCAGCTACTCGCCTCTCTGTGAGCCGGCGGCGTGTCGGTAACGGGTTCGAGCCGTCGTGTTGCGGCCTCCCGCGCCGCTGTATGTGGGGCGCACTGGCGCCGCCGGGCATTCCAGAATCGTGTTGTTCCACGCCCGAAATAGGCGCTGAATCACGGCCGGTGGCCGCCGCTCCCCGGGCGGCGAACGCCGTCCGGCGGCGGCCGCCCCCCGCGCTGACCCGCGCGCCGCGGTCACCGGCCGCCGGCGACTCGGTCACCGGCTGCGACGACGCGCGACGTCGCGCGCGTCCGTCGTCGCCACTGCCAAGTCGGCGTCCTAATTCCGGCGGTGGCGGTGCGGCGGCGCCGGCGGCAGTGGCCGCCCGGCGGTGGCACTGGGAGGTGCGTGTGCGCTGCCGCCGACGCCGACGAGCGGCGCCGCCGTCGGCCGTCCGTCAGTCAGTCATGACGCTGCGCGAGGACCAGCTGCTGCAGGTGCAGGGCTCGCAGAAGGGCCGCTCGGCCTCGTTCTGTGTGGGCGGCGAGGGCGAGCCGCCGGGCGGGGTGCCGGCCGATTGGGCCGCGCCGGCGGCGCCGCGTGACCTGGCCGCCGCCGCGCGCCGCTCTCAGAGCTGCCGCGTCCAGGGCGCCCGGCCGCGCGTCCGCCGGCGCGACAAGAAGGGCGAGGCGCTCGACCTGGCCGATGCGGCCAGCACGGGCTGTCTGACGCAGGGCGAGCCGTCCTACCACCCGTTTCTGCACAAGGCGCCCAGTTGTGGTAAGGTGTTCTACCAGACGGTGGACGGGACGGTGATGCAGACGTACACGCCGGAGGGTTCGCCGGGCGGCGCGCGGCGGGCGCGCCGGCCGCCGCTGCCCAATGTCGGCACACCAGAGGACTCGCCGGCACTGGCACGGAGGCCCACACGAACGCGCGCGCTGGCGGGCGCCAGCCAAGGGCGCGGATCGCCGTCCTCTCGCTACAAGCAGCGAGCATTGGAGCCCGACCCGGAGGATCCGGACGCCTACCGCCTCAGGAACTTCAGCCTCACTGCTAAAGGTGAGTCACGGGGAAATGAGGAGAAAATCTGGGACGTGGGGACCCGCGTTAGCAGGCTAAAGCTGCGGGAAGTGTCTTTTGTCCGTTGCCACTTGTTGCTCTGAGCCTGTTGCGTGATGCAGTGTTTGTGCGCTAAAGGTTAGGACGCCAAAGAAAGTTTTCTCTTTCTTAAATGTTCTCTACCTTCCTAGATACATCCGGGTCAAGGTGGCGTCACTGCCGCCGCTGCTTTGTTCCCGTCGATCTCAATCGAACTAGTTAGAGGTTAGGAAGAGGGTAAATAATGTAATGGATGAAAATAGCAAACTTTTTGCTAACATTGCGCAGTAGGTACGCAGCCAATTATTTTGGTTTTTAGAGAGTGGCATCAAACGCCTACCTTGCTCGAGGAGGCTGGAACATTTAAATTGGTTTTAAGCACATATTTGTATTATTTTGTTTTTGATCAGTGCAACATTTTCAGTGCTTGTGATAATATAACGGGCACGATTTAATTGTGGAGGGCAGTTAATTGGATGGAAAATTTCTGCATAGTTCTGTCGTCTGTCTTGTACGAATTAATCTGTTTAGCTGCGTTGCTAAGCGGATTTTCGGCCTGCACCGGAATCACGCAGTGAGCGCGCGGTTTGGACGTGTCTGCGCTCTCTGAACTCAGCGGTACACGGGAAGAGCGCAGTTGTGATCCTGATATAGGTATAGGTACTGGTAGTTGACCTTTTCAGAAGTATGTGACGTCAGAGAGTATCGGAGAGGTTGATGATTGGGGATATTAATAGGAATCTGCCGTAACGACAATATTGGTGATGTTGACCTTACCAGCTTACTACTAATAAACACGTCTAACCAGTTCAGGTTGGGAGGGTCGTTTTAAAAGCAAGGGTTCTCATTGACTTCTTCAGCTCACTGCACTGGTCGGGCGGTATACTTACAAAATAGAAACTACATTTTTTTTGTTACAGCTAGGATGTGCGCTCTTGTTTACTGATCACGGCACTAACCGTCCTGACAATGAAATGACAGACACGGTCAATAGTCAGCCAGCATTATTCGTCCTCTCATGTGGCGACTTCCGTAACGGCAGCTTCAATCGGGGCTGAAAAGGTACGAGCGGCGACCGCCAAAGGGGTGGCGGGCAAACGAGAGTGGATCGTCAATTCCTCTCCATGCACTGCCACAATCATATAAATTCTAGAAACCGGGTCGTTCCCGTCACCCACACCCCGGTGGCCGTTATTCATCGCCACACGCCGGCGCGTGCAGTCTCGCGCCTTGCGGTACAGTCTAACTTCCAGGCGTAGGATTTTAACGACATCTATCGGGAAGGACGTAAAGCTCGTGCTACGACCGCGCACGGGCTATGGGCATGGGTGTCGATTTGTATACCTTTGGGGGTGCTGCAGCACCCCCAATGCTCAAATGAGCACCCCCAATGGTTTTCCGGGCACCCCCAATGATTTTGTCCCTCAATAACTCCCACTAACTCTGCTTGAGGAAAATAATTGTTCTGCAGTCTTTCACTAATAAAAATAAAATAATTACGCAATTTACAAAGCATGAAATAAAGGTGTAAAGCCAGAAAAGTTAGTTTTAAGAAGAAGAGCGAAAAAAGACGTTAAGTTGTAAAGACACTGGTGTGGGTCCGTCGTACACGGGTGTCGGACCCTTAGAGCTGCTGGCGCGTACCCTTTACAAGCCAGCAGGGGGCTCCAGAGACCGGCGACGGGCCCTCAGAGGCCGGCTAAGGGCCATCAGAGGCCGGTGGTACCTTCAGAAACCCTGTGGGGTCGTCTTTAGAGACCGGAACGGACTTAGACGCCGATGGAGCCCTCAGTCGCCGGTGTGGGGCCTTCAAATGTCACCGGTGGCAGGGTGGCCGTCACATGCGCACTTGTGGGGCCTTCAGAAGCTACGATGTTGGGCCCTCAGAGCCACCGATATAGGGCCTTAAGAGGCACTAGTGTGGGACCCTCAGATATGGCAATGTGGGGCCCTCGGACTGGAGGCGCCGGTGACGGCCCTCACAGGCGCCGTTGTGGGGGCTCTCAGAGACACTGGTTTAGGGCCATCACAGGCGCGCGTGGGGCCCTCAGAACTGCTGTTACGGAACGGACCCTTCATAGGCCGACAAGAAGATATCAAGAGGTCACCGGTGCCTTCAGGAGCCTTGTGTGGTTCTCAGAGACTGGCATGGTGCGCTCAGACGCCGCTGGGATCCTCCGAGTCACCTGTGTAGGGCCGTCAGGGTCGCTGGTAACTGACAAGGGCCCTCAGAACCGCCCATGTAGGGTTTTTAACGGCATTGGTGTAGGGCCTCAGAGTTAGGGGTGTGGGGCCCTCAGAGACGCCGGTGTGGCGCTCAGGGGTGCCGGTGAGGGCCCTCACAGTCGCCGTTATAGGGGCCCTCAGAGAAATGGGTGTGGGGCCATTACAACCCGGAGCTGGCCCCCTATAGGCCGGTTAAGACCCCCAGAGGCCGGCAAGTGGCCCTCAGAGGCTGGCTTGGGCCCTTATGGAGATCTTAATGTTGGTACTTGTGGGCCCATGAGGTGTTCTTACGAGCCCTGTGGGGCCCTTCTGAGTCCAAATATAGCCAACCTGGACCCTCAGCGGCCAATTGGCGCCGCAGTGCCCCTCAGGCCCGAATAACCCGATGGGCCCCTGAACCTAATGGGGGGGGGGGGCATGTGCCTCACGGGCCCACCTGCCTACGCCACTGAGGAAAATCGTAAACCCATAAATATCGAAATGCGATCACCTGTCATTTTTTTCAACGATTATTGTGATCGTCTGATTAACGCCAGAGCCTCGTAGCTATACCGTTGCCTCCCGCGCAATGTCCGCCCCTGTGGACCGCAGGGGCTGCTGCACCGGTGCTAATCGCGATCACCGGTTTGTCACCTTATTACAGAGGTGCCGGGGCTGCTGCCGAGCTGCCGGCAAATGTACGCGTTTTTTCGGAAAGATGTTTATGTAATGAGGTAGCCAAGTACTAGGACGAGCAGAATGATTTTGAAGAACGTTCAACCTTTGGGAAATATTAGTGGAAATCCCGGGATTATCAGTACCTTATGGGGATACCCAACCATGCCTTGTACGGTTGTGCCCATGGCAAAGCTGCAATCTTTCACCCGGCGCAGGGGTTGAGCACCCCCAACCATTTTGAGAAATCGACACCCCTGGCTATGGGCATGCCGACAAACTAACACTTAACAGTAAACGGCGAACAAAGTGCGAATGCAGCTTAGAAGAATGTTGTTCCTTGTGAATTGTGCCATTAACAACTTCCATTGATGGATTAGTTGATCTTAAAATAATGTAACGTAAGATGTAGGCTCCGTTTCAACTAATCATTTGCGACGGCCGAGGGCCTTGCTTGCGGTGGATGCTGCTGCTATGAGAATCCCGGGTAGTATGAGTCGCACTTGCCAGAACGGCCAGAACTGCGTCTCAAATTTCTACATGCAAATTTCTTCATTTTCAATTTTCAAATTTACAATTTCTACATGCCTCAAAAGCGTGCCAAAATTGGGAAAACGCTTCAGCTCGGGTCCATTCCGCACTCTCCCACCAACCAGTCTGTTTCTGTTCTGAATGTTAAGTGTTGTCTGTATGTACTGATACAATGTTCCATGACTTTTTTAACTACTACGTCTTAGGACTGAAGTCATGAGTGCCGCCTGACCATCTGTCATGAGCAATAGTGTGTTGATAGGTTTTGACTATACATTGCATCTAATGTATAGTGTGAATTATTTGCCCAACGTTTTTTGCTGCTCTGGTATAGCATGGCTATACGACAGCCACAATGTCACTGCCAGTTTTGTATCTGTTTACGTCTATTATTTGGCCTCAGCAGTGGCACGTCTCGTTTAGCTGTCAGTTCACGGCACAGCTGTCCCGCCTGGGTGACACCCCACCTCCCAATGCCAATACCCGTCGGACGGTAAAGGTCGCCCGCGGTCAGCGCCCCTCCATTGTCCAGCTGTCAAAAGGACCGACTCACTGGCCAGAGCTGCCACTTGATTCACATTGACGGACCCCCTACCCCAGAACCGCCACACTATTCACATCAATAAAAACCAACCCCACAGCCGCCGCCTTATTGGCATCGACGGCGCTTGTGGCGGCGAGGAATAAGCTCGAATTTAGAAATCGCGGCTCTACGACATGTTGATGTTCTTGATGGTCTGCGTTGGAAATGCGCTTAGGTAAATCGAAAGGTGAAGCGAGTCGCATATTGCATTCAGTTCTAGGTATGAGAGATGCCACTCACTTGTCGTAATGTAAACAAATATCAGAGCTCCCGCACGCCTGCTTCTGAAAGATGGATTGAAATGCAAATTGGTAAACACCTTTCCGGCAGGCAAGAGCTTTGCTAAATACGTTCCTACATTTTCTTTTTCTCGTCTGCAAGCACTGACATGTGTTTACGCACTTACCGGTGCACCGGGCAGCCTGTAGTCGGGTGCAGCTGACCATGAATAGTGTGATTTGTGGCTAATGGACCACTTATTGAGCTGACAAACGGCACTCGACGGGCTCGCTCAGAGTAGGTATGGAGTCAAAAGTACTTTATGTGAGCGACAATGATGGTAATGTTTATGGTGGATTGGGAATGAGTCATACCTCAGCTTCTGTTTACTATTATTCCCTATGTGTTCCATATCTATAAAATTAACCCGAAAGTCGCATCAGTTGATTTAGTGAGCGAATGCCTAAGAGCGGTGGCCCATGAAAAGTACCTATCTGCTGCAGGTTCCCCGTGAGGCACTACTAGGTTACCTATTGATAAATAGCAATAAATCTGAGTTCTTAGATATGCACAATAAATTGTTTTCTGCCTTTTAAAGGGACTATCCCACCTTTAACATGGGGTTTGAGTTGAGATAGCCAAGTTTGCGGCGAGGTTCAGAAACCACTATCTATCTAGGTTGCAACCCCCGCGGCCTCTTGGTGTTGAAGAAATTCGTTCCCTTCATTTGAAAATGGGCCTTGTGCAA